ATTTTGATTAAAAAAAAAACAGTAGCAAGCCAATGAACACAAATAGAAAACAAATGCTGGCAAAAACAGAAAAATGGAGCCCTTGTACATTTCCTACCTCACTAGTAGAAATGAAAGATGGTGCAGCTGCCAAAGGCTGGTGGATCCTCAAACAGCTGAACCTAGAATCACCATATGACTCACCAATCCCACCCATAGGCCTATCTCAAGGAGAAATGAAAACTTACATCTACACAGAAACTTGGGTTGTTTTCCTTGAGGCAAAATATTTATTGGTACATGTTTGATATACATACAATAGCATTCATCATAGGGAATGTATACCTACAAGTGGTATATCTTGCTTCTTCTTTTTTCCCTCCCCACCTGCTTTAGCTCCTCTTCCCCTCCTACAAAAAGCTTTGCTTCCATTTTTCCCTTCTATTTTCTCTTTTTTTTTCTTGTTCCTTCTTTCCTCTCCCCACCTTGTTCTCCTTTTCACTGAACATTTTCTCCCCATTTCCCATTATCCACTATACATTTTCATCCTTATTTCCACTCTGTTTCTCAAACCAGAGAAATAATGCAGTATTTAAACATGTGTTTTCAATTTATTTACTTAAGAGTATGGTTTCAATGTCCATCCATTTAGCTATGAATGTCTGAAGCTCATCCTTCTTTATAGCAGAGTAGTACTCCATAGTATTTTTTTAAAAAACATATCTTCTTTATCCCTTTGTCAGTAGATGGACATTTGGGCTATTTCCAAAATTTAACTATTACAGATTGTACTGCTATCAACAGGGGTGTGCATATATTGCTGTGCTATACTTTAATTCCTTCAGAAAGATACCAAGAAGGAGATTAGCTGGGTCAAACGGAACCTCCACTTTTAGTTCCTTAGGACTCTCCACCCTGATTTCCACAGTGGTTGCACCAGTCTACTCTCAACCAAAAGTGGAGAAGAGTTTTTTTTTCCCCACAGCCCTTCCAGCATTTGTTATTGGTGGATTCTTGATAACAGCCATTCTTTCTTTAGTGAGATGGAACCTCAGCATTGTTTTAATTTGCATCTCTCGAATGAACAGTGATGTTGAACATTTTTCCATATAGTTATTTGCTTGTACTTCTTCATCTGAGAAGTATCTATCCATTTCAGGTGCTCATTTTGGGGTTGGGTCTTTAAATTTGGGGATCTGATTTTTAATTATATATTCTGGATACTAGTCCTCAGTCTGAGGAACAGCTGGCAAACATATTTTCCCACACTATGGGTTGTCTCTTTACTCTGTTGGTGGTTTCTCTTGCTGTGTAAAAGCTTTTTAATAAGATGAGATGCCAATTGCTGATTCTTTGTGATGTTCCTGTGAGATCAAGGTTTTGTTCATAAACTCTTTGCCTACACCAATGTCTTCAAGAGTTCTACCTATTCTATGCCATGGATTTAGCTCGGTGGTTCTGCCACCAGATTTGCAAGAGCAAGGTCCTAAGTTCAATTCCCAGTACCAAAAAAAAGAGAGAGAGTTCTATCTATCCTATCTTGTAGCAGATTAAGTGTTACTTTTTTTTTTTTTTTTTTTTTTTTGAGACAGGGTCTCACTATGTAGTTCAGATTGCCCTGGAACTCACTGTGTATCCTAGGCTGGTCTCAAACTCACAGCGATCCTCCTGCCTCAGCCTCCTGAGTGCTGGGACTATAGGCATAAACCACCACACCCAGCTAAGTGTTTCTGTTTTAATATTAAATCTTTTATTCATTTCTATTTTAGTTTAGCAGATGGTGAAAAACATGGGTTTTTCTTGCACTATTTATTTTTTGGTTTTTTGGTACTGAGGATTGAACTTGGGTCCTTGCGCTTGCAAGACAGGCCACCGAACCTCTGAACTAAATCCCCAGCCTTTTGCACTATTTATTAATAAGGCTCTGTCTTCCAGTGAAGGTGTTTGGCTCCTTTGTCAAAGATAAGGTGGCTGAGTATATCTGGAGTTGTTTCTGCATCACTTAGTCTGTTCCACTGATCCTCAAGCCTGTCCCCCCTCCCCCCTGTACCATACAGTTTTAATCACAGTAGCTTTGTAATATAATTTCAAGTCAGGGGCTGTGCTGCCCCCTGCCTCACCTTTGTTGTCCAGAATTACTTTTGCTATTCTAGGTTTCTTCCAGTTCCAAGTGAATTTTAGAATTGTTTTCTCTAATTCTCTACATAGAAACTTATAAGTGAATGTTCACGGCATTATTTACAATACCAACAGAAAAATAAAATAAAGGCCAGGTGTGGTGGTGAACACCTGTAATCCCAGCACTTGGGAGGCTGAGGCAGAAGGATCACTGTGAGTTCAAGACCAGCCTGGGCTACATAGTGAGTTGCCAGGTCAGTCTCAGCTACATAGTGAGACACAATCTCAAAAAATAAATAAATAAATAAAATACCCAGTAGACAGAAACAACTCAAGTGGCTGTCAGGGTGTTTCTCTGCCCTGATCTTGCTTATCTTTGAGGGCAGGGTGCCTGCAGGCACAAGATCCCTCTACAGGTGGGCAGCCGTGATCAGCAGGCTGCAATATGGCTGACAAACTGACCACCACGCAACCTCCAACTTTGTTTTTTTGTTTTGAGACAGGGTCTTGCTATATAGTTCAGGCCATCCTTGAACTCATTATGCTGCCCAGGCTGGTCTTGAACTCACAGAGATCCTTCTGACTCAGCCTCCTAAGTGCTGGGATTACAGGTGTGAGCCACCATGCCCAGCCAACTTCATTATAATCCATCTGCATGCTAAATGACAGCCGCCTCCCAGTCCCAGGACATCTGCCATGACAATGACCAGAAAGAAAGAGGTGCCCATATTCCAGAAGATCTCTACCCATCATCAGAAAAGATGTGACCATCCCTCCCCTTTGGGAGCCTATCTTTCCCCTCATTTCTTTTATCTTCTATCTATGACTTTTCTACTCCCATTGGATAGAGAAGCTGATTTAGGAGCCATTCTTCTTGCTTCTTTGATTATTGGCCAGAAATAAAACTTCTTCCTTCATAGATCAATTGAGGCTTGGAATCTGAGATTCCAAGAGAGAAAAATGATCCATTTTGAGGACAAAAATTAGTAACAAATGGGCATAAACAAAATATGGTATGTCCTGTGCAGCAGAATATTAAACATTACTCAACCAATAAGGAGCTGAGCCAGGTGTGGTGGCACACACCTGTAATCCCAGCACTCGGGAGGCTGAGGCAGGAGGATCGCCGTGAGTTCCAGGCCAGCCTGGGTTGCATACATAGTGAGTTCAAGCCCAGCCTGAACTAAAGAGCAAGGTTGACATCAAGCTCTCCACTACAATGGTGTTTCACAGTAGTCACTCTCACACTGCAGTTGTTTTTGTTTTTGTTTTTCTTTCTTTCTTACTTTTACTTGGCCCAAATTTGCTCTGCAGAGTCTGTTTCTTTTCCTGCATTTGTAGATGTAAAACCTTGCTATTGTTTGCCCTTGTCATTACTAATTCTTTGCTCAGGACAGAAAGAATATAGAAACCACCTCTAGGATACTCCAGCATCCTAAACCCAGTAACACTAGGGCTGGGGCATGGGTAGAGGGTGCAAGATTTCTTCTGGGGATGAGGAAAATGTTCTAAAATCAGTTGCGGCAATGGCTGCACAATTCCGTGTATAATTTTAAAAAACACTAAACAATGACAAAAATCTCTGTATATAGTAAAGCCATTAAATTGTACAAAGGGGGGAATTGCATTTACATAGAAAATAATAATTCAAAATTCCTTTAAAAAATCAACTTGCTGCTGGGCGTGGTGGCACACGCCTATAATCCCAGCTGAGGCAGGAGGATCGCTGTGAGTTCGAGAACAGCCTGGGCTACATAGTGAGTTCCAGGTCAGTCTCAACTACATAATGAGACTGCCTCAAAATATTCAAAATTCCTTTAAAAAATCAACTTGCTGCTGGGCGTGGTGGCACACGCCTATAATCCCAGCTGAGGCAGGAGGATCGCTGTGAGTTCGAGAACAGCCTGGGCTACATAGTGAGTTCCAGGTCAGTCTCAACTACATAATGAGACCCTGCCTCAAAAAAACAACAAAAAAAACAAAACAAAAAATCCTGTAAGTAAGTAGGGTTAACTTATCAAGGAATGCATTATACCTCTATGGAGAATTAAAAAATTCTAATAAAGCATGTATACCCTATAGAAGTTAGATAAATTAATAACATTCTAATAAAACTGATAAGTAAGGGGGGAGTTTTGATTTGGGGGGGTTGTTGTTGTTTCTTAGGCTCTAGATGAATATATTCTGAAAGGTATGAAATGAAAAGAATGAAGGCCTACTCGTAGCTAAATTGACCTGAGGTGGATTTTAAAATGTAATCCTCACCCTCCCAGATATAAATACTGTATAAAGCCAAGGTAATTTTTCAAAATTCACAGTATGAGACTGGTGCGTGAGCACACACAGAGTAGTTGGGAGGAGATATTTACAGCACCTGAACCTGACAGGGGTTAGTTTACAGAACTCTTGCTTTTGAGGGAGGAGCAGGCTGCACACAGGACCCAGGGGCCTGGCCCAAGTGGGGGGTACACTGTGTCCAGAGGGGAGTGAGCCCAGGCCTGGCTGGGCTTCAAAGTCACGCAGGAAGGAAGCCCCTCCACAAGGAGACCTAGCACAGGGAAGAAGGGAAGTACTGTCGGGTGGGACCTTAGGGCAGGGAGGGCAGCGGCTCCTCCTGCCCCAGAGGGGGCTGAGGCCCCAGGCTAAGTCTCCCTGCTCCCCCCCCCCCAGTCCCCGGCCCCCCCAAACAAAGTCCTCACTCACCCGCAGGGAGGCAGCTGTTGGGTGTGGCAACCTGGTCCCCCGTGCTGGAGGTGGACGGCCCAGGCGGGACCTGGCCAGCATCCACACTGGGGCCCTCACCCCAGCTCTGTAGGTTCTCCAGGGGCGTGGTGAGGACGCTGCTGTCCTCCCAACAGGAACTGCCCCAGTCCCCGGCCCCCCCAAACAAAGTCCTCACTCACCCGCAGGGAGGCAGCTGTTGGGTGTGGCAACCTGGTCCCCCGTGCTGGAGGTGGACGGCCCAGGCGGGACCTGGCCAGCATCCACACTGGGGCCCTCACCCCAGCTCTGTAGGTTCTCCAGGGGCGTGGTGAGGACGCTGCTGTCCTCCCAACAGGAACTGTCCTGCTGGCTGCTCAGCGTCAGGGTGGAGGTATCTCTGATCAAGAGGCTGGAGCTCAGGGTCTCCTTGGAGCTGAGGATCAGGGTCAGGCAAGAGGGTGGAGAGAAGGCGGAGCTGGGTCCATGGGTGCTGGAGTGCAGGCTGGTACCATCGCTGGAGCCAGGGACCAGCATCAGGCTGGAAGCCTGGATGACGGTCATGTTCAGATCGGATCCAGTATGGCCCTTTAAAGCCACCTTGAGTGACCCCTGGGAAGCTGCACTCCAGGTTGCCTCAAAGGCTCCTTTCAGATCAATTTCGGAGAGGTTATGGGACGCCAACGTGACAGGCTCACTTGTGTCTGGGACTAGGGCCCCACGAGAACCTGTAGCAGTTTTCAGGCTGTGCTTGGAGACGTTTCCGCTGCCGGGACAGGCCAGCTGGCTAGAGTCGGAACCCAGAGACGCGTCAGAGGTTGGCAGGAGCAGCGCGTGTGAGCCCAGCCTGGAGAGGCAGTAGCCCAGAGCCAGGCTTTCTCTGGAATGGAGCCTTATAAATGGGTTTGACGCAGGCCTAGAAGGACTGGAGTTACTCTGAGCCAGCTCAAAAGCCTTGCTCCCGGAGAGGGACAGGAAGGGCTCCTCAGAACTCTGCGCAGAAGGACTGCTGGAGCCCGGACCTGTGGTCTCAGGAGAGCCGGGGCTAGGAGTGGGGTTTAAGGCTGGAGAAGGGGGTCCCTGTGGGTCAGGCTTTAAGACATGATTCACATCCAGGTTCAGGGTCGCCACAGAACAGGAAGTGGCAGTCTGGAAGGAAGCTGGAGTCGTGGCCCTGCTGTCAGCAAGCCTGGGAGTGTCGTTGGTCACTAGGCCAGGGGCCTCCCCTGGGTCAGGACTCAGAGTTGGATTCAGCTCTGGAACAAGGGCCGAGCCAGGACTTGGGGGCAGATCTGAGTTAGGAACAAGGGTTGTGTCCGGGTTGGGCCCAGGGATGCTGCCAAAGCCTGGCCCTGGGGCCTCACAGGAGCAGAGACTTGGTGTCATCTGTGGGTCTTCACAGGGCTTGAGATTCGCCCCTGGACTCATTGCCGTGTCTGTGGGGAGGCCTCTCAGTGCCCCTGCCCCTTCTATCCAGTGCTGGCTGAGCTCGCTGCACTGCTCCTAAGAGAGAAGGTAGATGCGTCAGGAGGCGCTGTTTCAGCCTTCCAGTGGCTTCCCCGCTCTTCCTCCTGTCACCCCATCCCAGCCTGCTGTCCTTATCTCCAGGCTCCACCCACCTCCTGGGAGGGTCCCCTTCCCTCACCACACCCCCCAGCTCAGAGACCACGCACTGGATTTGCAGCCTCCTCCAGGACCTCCTGCCAGTCCCACTGCTCCTCTAAAAAACTTTGTCCCCTTCCTTCCCTGACTCGAGTGGTCTGGCCCCTCGCTAGCGATGAGGTCTGGATGACCAGACTACACCTCGTGGGCCCTCGACTCTCCCAGGCAGGTCCTAGCACAGTGAGTAGCGGGGTCATGGGAGGGCGTCTGCAAGCAGAAAAATGAGGAATCTTCCGCTCTGAGGCAGACAAGGGGAAAGAGGAGACTGCTCACTGGTTACCTACTTCCAGCTGACCACATGTGACTTGGTGACCCATGTTCACCAGCAAGGGTCTCTGAACCTTGGGAGTTTGGAATGCTGTGAGCCAGACATGAGTTCCAAAGTTGCTAGAATCAATGTGCAAGTGGTCACAGCACTCCATTCTCAAAGCCACCCGCAGAGCTGCCTCTAGCTCTCAGCACTTGGCCTATTCTGCTTGAAGCAGCTTATGTGGGAGTCATTGTCCAAAATGGGCCCTGGTTCAGCTCGGGGATTTGGCTCAATGGTTCCGTCGCCTGCCTCGCAAGCACAAGGTCCGGAGTTCGATCCCCGGTACCAGACAAACAAAAGAACAAAATGGAACCTGCTTGACCCAGGTATCTGACACAGGCGAGTTCCCCAGTCCGCCCAGTCCCCTGTCATCTCACCCCAGCCCCAGGCCACCTTCCCTGGGGAACTGTCAGGGCTGCTCCCCTGCAAGCATGGGGTCCTTAAGCAGGAGTGGGCCCCTGGGAGAGAAGTGGACGGAAGCCAAGTCAGGGGAAGAGCGGCCTGCAGGCCAGGCATGCACCAGCCCTCCTGTATGCGCATGCGAGCACTCGAGTGTGTGTGTGTGTGTGTGTGTGTGTGTGTGTGTGTGTGTGTGTG